TTTAAGGCTGTGTGGTATGTCATCAAGTGTTTTGTTAAACATGTAAAATTAAGTAATGTAGCCCTCTCCAAAGGGAGAGAGTGCGTCACACTCTTTCTATATAAGTGGTGTGTGTGTGTGTTTGTTTTGTGGGGATAAGGAAAGAGATAACTATTGCTATTGGCATGTCATCACACTGCTCTTCTTCTTCTTCTCCGCTAATAACTAAAAACATTGCTTATCATTTGTGTAAAAATATAGTAAAACCCACAACATATATAATCATTGATTCCACAGCGGATAAAAACAAGTATGAATCAAGGTATTGATTTAAACAGAATCCACGGTTTAATCATATCCTTATTCGACACTTGCAAATACTCTGATTTGGTGTCAAAGAATAGCAAGCGTCCAATCCCATTGTGTAATATCTTATATTCTAAAAGAAAATGACAATAAATACGAATCCACGTAGCGATGAAAAGAATAAAGAGAATGTGAAACAAAACTAATTAAAGCATCTTAGCTAGAAGATAGCTGAGGCTGCAGCTTCTCCCAACAACAGAAATGTCATAAGAAGATGCTCTATTATTTGTAAGGAGCGACACAAAAATAAAATAAAATACTAATAAATAATAATTAATTGGAGACGAGGGATGACTCATTCTCCACGCTGGCCTTGTCTTCATTATTAGCGGAAACTTCGTCCGACTTAGGTGTTTTAGGAGTTGACTGATGACCTTCTTTAACTGGTGAAACAGTGTCAACAATAATATTCTTCCCATCTTCACCAACTTTAGGTGATTTTTTATCATCTTTTCCTTCCTTCGACGGCTCTTTTCCTTCCTTTGACGGTTTTTTTTCGTCTTCTTTCTTTGGCATCATGTGTGGTGGGGGTTTTGTCTTCAACTTCATTAGCATTTGGCGCATTCTCGACATGTCGGTGGGCTTTCCGGGCTTCGGGCCTTCAACAACCACAACTGAGGGCTTCTTGTTATTGTCATCTTTTTTCCCTCTCCTTTTCTCAATGTTGGGGACTTCACGCGGTATTATCTCTGCAACTGCTTTCCAGAAATGTTGATCAGCGTCTTTGTGGAACTTCTCTTGTTGCTTATTGTAAACCTGAATAACACACCAACTTTTTTTTTTTTCACATTTTTTTTTCTTTTCTTTTGGAAAATGATTAATATTGTTAATTTGGGGGCTTACTTTCTCCCTTTCCCTGTTCTCAGCTTTGTTCGTCTCGCATGTTTGATTCCTTTTCTCGTAGAATTTCTGTTTGTATTCTTCCGCTTCTGCAATTATCTGATTACGCAACTCCTTTTCTTTTTTCTCTTTCTCCTCTAGGTATATGGCATTTTGTCTAAGAAAATAAAAAATCTATGTTAATCTTCAATTCTATACAAGACCAACAAAAAATGGAATAATTACAATTTTTGTCCGTTTACTTGTTCAATGTTCATTTTTGGTACACTAACTTACTCCTTATCGAAAATAGTAAGTTATGCTGAAATTTATATCATTTTTGGAACATTAATCATAAAAAACAGTACGTTATGTTGCAATTTGTATCAATTTTAGGACATTAATCTCAAAAACAATGAACCATTTTCGCAATAATGTCCCAATAGTGATACAAATTACAACATAACGTACTATTATTGATGAGAGGAAAGTTAGTGTACCGAAAAAGAATTTCTGACGACGACACAAACCAAAATTAAATTTTTGCCTACAAAAAATATGCAAAAATCGAGGAAAAAAAAAAAAAAAACTGACCGTCGCCATTCGCGAAAAGCAGCGCCTTGTTCACGCATTTGGCTAGGATCTGGAAGTAGGGGACCTCCATTTTCATCTTCATCTTCATGTGTGAAAATCCGTGATTGATTATCGTGTAAAGGGGCATTGGCATAGTCGTCTGCGTAGAGCTCTACCTCAGGGGAAGGTGCAAAAAAGCCATGAATAGGCAGAGGTGGAGGGTGGGGCACCACTCCCTCATCACCCATATTCTCATCAAACCCATCCATCCTTTGATTAACTGTGATGAAGAATTATTCAATTGCCTATATTGAGTGCTTTGAAAGAATGTTTCTCGCCTCATCTATTTCCATTTTTCACTTCTTACCTCTCCAAATATAGGCAATGTTTGAATGAGTATGTTTTGGCTTTTCTGTTAATTACTACCTCCAAATATAGGTGTTAGGATCATTAATATTTCTGTCTTTCATTTTACTGCCTTCACTAGTACAATACTCGTGTAGTGAAGTACAATACTCGTGTATTACACGGGTGCTTGTTAAATATTTTTTATTAAAATTTAAAATTAATGAGAAAGTGGTTTATAATTTATATACTTTTTACAAAAAATTAATGAGAAAGTGGTTTATAATTTATAATTTATATAATTTAAAATCAACGACACGCACCTGCGAGGTTCGTACAAGGGGAAACTACTTGTTAATTGCAAATTAATATTTTATTTTATAATTTACAATAGTGTCTGATTAAAAAAAAAAAAAAAACATATGTCCAACTGAGCAGGTTCGTACAAGGGGAAGCTGCTTGTTGCCATAGCACAGACCGCGAATAAGCGTCTATTGCCAGTCGCGTATGCGATTGTGGACGAAGAAAGCACGGCTAGCTGGTCCTTTTTCCTAACACATCTGCGCCATCATGTCGTCCCCGACAGACCGATATGTCTTCTTTCCGACAGGGACAACGGCATATTGAGTGCCATTGAATTACTGGAGACTTGGCACGAACCCCATGCATTTCATCGGATATGCCTTCGACACCTCCGGAGCAACGTGTTTTCAAGGTACCGGACTAAGAAAATCCAGGGTTTGTGCTGGAGGTTGGGTTCACTGTGTTCTCGCCGCAAATTTGAGCAGAGTCGACAGGAACTCCATGAATGTAACCCGGAAGCATACGATTACCTTTTCAAAATTTCTCTGGAAAAGTGGACCCTGTACAAAGATGGAGGATGTCGATGGGGCACTCTGACAACGAATATGTCAGAGAGTTACAACAATGTCCTCAAAGGTGTTAGGTTTCTGCCCTGCAGAGCGTTGGTACAGGCCACAATGAACAAGACTCTGGATTTGTTTGAACAGGAACAAAAGAAGTCCAGAGGATGCAGGACTCCCATTCCTACCGACCTCTATGCCGCCTATCGGGTGTTGGAAAAGACGGAGGCGACTCACGAGGTGCGATGTGTGGACGCCGACGGATCCCAGTACATGGTGACAACCGGTCTACGCGCCAATGGAAGAGGGCAAAACAAGTATGTATTTTTTATTGTAATTGTTTTTTCCATTCAAATGAGTTTATTTTTTTTTTTTTAATTTATATATATAAATCATTGTTGAAAATAGGTTTAAGGTCTATTATCAGCAGCAGCGTTGTGCATGTAGGAAGTGGCAGACACATCGCAAACCATGCTCTCATACAATTCGAGTGTGTCGTCACCGGGGTGATCAACCGGTGTCGTTGTATAATCCCTACTTTTGTACGGAGAACTGGGTTGCTCAATTTTCTAATTGGAATTTTGCTCCAATTGGAAATCTTGACACGTGGCCGCAGGTGGGATGGAATTTGATTCCGCATTGGGAGAGGATCATCTCGAAGCCTGGACCCGGTCGCGCCCAAACGAGACGCTTTAAAATGCAAATGGATCGTCGGGCGCGCCGCAGAAGAGGAGTGCAAGCACCCTCTGGAGGATGGACTCCCTACATCAGAGTACGAGAAGAGGGCGAGAGCCCTAACACTCTAGTGTATTGGGTCCTTCTTCTTCCCCGACCATCGGGCCAACGGAGTCAACCTCTACTGGTTGTCCCTGTTGAATGTCATCGATGCCATTCCGGGGTACAGCTGGGGTGGAGCGCTTCTGGCCGGGGTATATAGAGCGTTCTGCGACGCCTACGAGACGCGGGAAAAATATATCAAGAGTTGCGTGCAGTTGATTCAGGTAAATTTATTTACTTGTTAATTGAAAATTAATTTTATTTATTGTAAATTACAATAATATGTGCTAAAAAATGTATATGTCCATATGTGCAGGTTTGGGGATGGGAACGCATCCCTCGTGTTCGCCCATTAATGACAAGAACACATTTCGGCTCTCAGGCTGGTTGTCCCTTGGGTGCAAGGTAATAATAACATTTATTTATATTCAACACTTAAGTTATTTCAATTATCAAAATTTGGAATTACAAATAATTTTTTTCTGTGATTTTTAAGGTGGGTGGGATCGAGGGACATGAGACACCTGGTGACGGGCACGGCTGCCATCCGAGATCAGCTGAGTGGCCTGAGAGAGACTGCTGTAAGTTTCTTAGGTCATAATAATAAATAATTATTATTTTTTTAATTCTATTTTTTATTAAATTTATTAATATTTCTATAAATTTTTTTTCACAATTCGATTGGGTACCCTATCAGACGTACATAGACGAGGATCGGCTCCCGGAAGTGTGCACACGAGACCGACATCTCTGGATGTACAAGGGGTGGATCTTCTGCTGGAACATCGCAGAACCCCACGAGCCTGATAGGGTGCTCCGCCAGTTTCGGTGCCACCAGCCCACCCCCCAACCGCCGCTCATTACTAGTCTGGCTGACTGGGACACCCGCCACAAAGGCCAGGGCATGACTGGGAGAGCATACACTGATTGGCAGGCCTTCCATGCTGATCTTGGGAGGATCTGGACCGAAGAGAGAGATCAGAACGTCCTCCCAGATGTCCCGGTGGATCCCTTCCTGCAGTTGGCAGATGGGTACATTGATTGGTTTCACAGTAAGACTGTGAGACTATTCAATGACCCCAACAACTACGCGGCGATCTCACAGGACGGCGGGTTTCAGCCATATGCCGACCGGGAGAAGTGTCAGGTAACTGTCTGCTATTTTGTGATTTTTTTTATTATTATTATTAATATTATTGAAGTAATTATTATTATTATTATTATTTTTAATATTTGATAGTTATTTGAATTTTATTTTGCAGTTTTCGGGTACGGAGGTGGCGTATAACATGCTAACGAACATTGAAGACATTGATACGCTACCTCCCCGAGCGCAGTCACAGTTCCAGCAAGCCCAGGAACTTCTGTACGCTTCTCTGACTATTGGGGGTCAGTCGGTCACACAAGGGGCGTTGTCGGAGCAAATTCTATCTCAAGATGAGTACGCCCCACCCCAGCACACAGTCTCAGCGGGCGAGGCATAGACCGGCGCCCCACATTGGTGGAGGGAGAAGACGCCGTGACCGCGAACCCGCCGGGAATGAAGAAGACGAAGAAGGTGAGATTTTTTTATTTAACTACAAATATATATTTTTTTTTGTTTCTTTTTATTTATTTGTCCGGTCGAATTATTGATTTTTTACAAAAATTAATTAATTAGGTGGACAAGAAGAAGAAGAACCAACCACGCCTGGACCGACCGCAGGATCGTCTTCTTTGGTACCGGAGCCTCGGAGAGGGTCCCGAAGACGCGTGGCTAGGAAACCATTTACTCCTAGTTAGTTTGTTTTTGTATTCTGTGATTTTGTGGACATTTTTTTTTTTTTTTTTTTACTGGATTTTC